CCCACATCCACACCGACACCGACACCCACACCCACATCCACACCGACACCCACCCACACCCACACCCACACCCCCACCCCACACACACCCACACCCTCGGCACGGTTTTCTCTTTCATTCTATGTAAGATTGAATGGTATTTTATATAAACAAGCCCAGTGGGCTTATTTAGGCTCTTATGCGCCCCCGTCCTTTATACCTTTCCCACTAGGCTCTCTCCTACAATAATGAAATGCACTACTCAGAAGTTGTTTAGATGTACTTCCAGTTCTTTGCATAACCATATCAAAAAGTTGAAATTCACTTACATGATTGGTTTACATAATTTGCTTTGAAAGAAAGAATCAGAGTCAGCATACTCTCTTCGTTTTCTTTTATGGTTATCTGATGAATGGATAACGACAATAGCCGTCGAAAGAAAGACGAAAAAAAAAACAATAAGACTAGCACATTAAATATGAATGAAGGAAGTTGTTGATGAACACATCAATATCGAACATTTCGCAACCATTATTGAAAAATCAATTGTCCCCATAATAAGGACGACTTTTTTTGTTTTCATATCTCGCTTGTTTTGACTAGTAGCCGTCATTTTCTCCTTGTTTTGGTTTCTGCTCCCCATAATTGCTCTCTCTCTCTCTCTCTCTCTTTCTGTATGTCTAACTTGTTTTGAATAATAGCGTTAATAGTTTCTCTGCTTCAGTTTTTTCTTTCCTCTCTGCTTTTTCTTCGCATTTGCAACCTCCGAATGTCACTCTTTTTCATTCTTCTTGCTTTTCTCTGTACATATCTCGCTTGTTTTGACTAGTAGCATTCATTTTCTTCTTGTTTTGATTTCTGCTTCAAATAATTACTCTCTCTCTCAAGCTGTTCCCTTGTTTTTTTTTGCGACGGTTCGGGAAGATATATATAGCCGTGCGCATTCTTGTTTGCTCCTCATACCAATCCAATTGAAATACGATTTCGAAGGTAGGTTATAGACTGTTTGATCTGTCAATTTTTCCTGCAGTAAGTAGGTAATCACATAAAGTAATGCTATTCAGAAAATAGGTTCTAACTGGGTTATCGAATAGCGAATGATAATTACTCAGATTTTCATCGCATGCACTCTCAAAATGTAAGAACATCGGACAGTATTGATCAGATCTTCACTGACGAGCAGAGGTCACTGTGTCCAGAATGTCTGAGACCCGAACCGAATCTACTCTTGGTACCCTCAATGAAATTCTTTGGCAGGCCTTCGATAGAGGCTTTGTAGTTCTGAGACACTTTTTTTTATTTCCTATGCTCTGTGAGTAATACAAAGTACACATTACTCAGACAATGAACGTGGTGCTCTTACTTTAAGAAAATCACCCACCGGATCGTATTCCGACTCCACCAAGACTTAGACGTAAATAGAAAAAAGAACACGGGGAAACAGTTAATCGACAAAGACAGATCGGCATCCATAAATGGTCAACAGGGAATATACAGTCCGCGATCCGTCAAACAAAAAGCATCCAGGACAGATCAGTCCTTAGTATCCTGATCGGTACATAGAGCAACACTCTCACCCTCACATCCTTAAAACTCTAAACGAGAGGACAAGGATAAAAATGCTGAATGATGAGTAGAAGTACATACAATAATAGTAGTAGAAGATGTCGTCATGGAAAAGAATTTTTCAATTTGATATGTATCGGAAATTGATAGAGTTATCTAACCCTAAATGTACGACGAAAAGAATAGTAGTTGAAAAAAAATTCTCTAAAAATGTAAATCGGTTTTTGAAAATTATCTAATCTCGTTCTTGGCACAGTAGTGACATTACATCGATATCTAACTGAAATCTTTTTTGGCCTTCAAATCCCTGTAGTCATGTTAAAATACTGCATAGAGTAAAGAGAAAGAGACTTTTTTTTCTGTTACTGTGCAACTAGTTTAAAACAGTATTCTGACTTGTTTTTGTTTTTGTCGAATAAGTACCGGCAACATATATAATGAACAAACATCGTCACTAAGAAAAAAAGAAGACGAGTCGATATTTGTATTCCTACGTATAGGATGAATTTTTTCGTGTTCATTCACTTTCTTTCTTCTAATGAAACATAGAAAAAATCGAACAAACGAGTAAGATAAGTTTATTCTTTGAAAAAAAATGTAAAACAAGGTTGATGTTGTTGATTTAAGAATAATTTTGTTAGTAACAAAATACCTGAATACATGATACTTTTGATCATTTTAAAAAGAAAAGGTCGAAGAGAAAAGCAAAATTGCAGTCTAGGAAAATAATAATCGTAATAGTTATTACTTTCTTTCTGAAGGTTCTCATTTCTCTTTATTAATAAAAGAAAATTTCAGTTCAACATCGATAAAAATAAGTTTTAATGCATCACTTTTTTTCTTATTTTTTTGTTCTGTATAATAAATGTAAACTTATCATTTTTCTTTAGATGTCGTTTTTTAAAAAGAGACCATCAGCTAGTGAAGGTGCCGCAGGTGGTGGTGACTCTTCAATGTTTGGCGTAACACTTGGCCAATTTAAAGAACTCATGGAACTACGTGGAAAAGAATTCGTGAAAAAACTTAATTCATCCGATTATAATGGTGTTCAAGGTATATTAGAGAAATTAAAAGTTGATAGAAATATAGGACTCCATTCAAATAATCAGCAAGATCTTGAACAACGTCGTATAGCTTATGGAAAAAATATAATACCACAGGAACCACAATCATTTTTATCATCTTTAACATCACCCACGTATGTACCTCATCACATGTTATTAGTTATTTTATTAATATGTCCTTTTGTTTTAATTGATACCTCATTTTCTAAATCATCTAAAGAAGAAGGAGAAAGTAGTAAAGATGAACGTAAGTACTGTATAACTATGCCATTTGACTAGTATACAAATAGATGAATACATAGATAGAATGTTAATTGATTTCTCTGACGACCAAAATAAATACTTGTATTGATCAATAACGACTAATGTTGTTAGCGATTGATTGCTTCTGTTTACTTTATTTTTAACATTAATCAGATATTATGAGATATACATGGGCGATGTGCAATCCTAGGGGAAAACAGCTACACTTCGATCGAACTCGTTCTCTCTCTCTCTATTTCATAATATATCAATTAAACCAATCTTTCTTCTATCGCCATATATAACAGATGTTTTGTGTACATGTATGTACGCGACGTCTAATTTCTGTCAAAGTTTCTCTCCAGAGATTGACGTCAGAACATTTGGAAAAGTCCTTAATTGGCGATTTTTTCCACTACACTAACAAAATAAAATTATCTGTAAAGATCATTCCATATTACTCACGTAAATGAATGCTTGAATTGAAAAAACAATAATTAATAAAACAGATGCCATTGACAACAGAGAATAAAAATAATAAAGGGTGATTCAAAAGTTTCGGCCCCTCTCGGTAAATTGACGTTATTTATATGAATATATCTATAAATAGTTAATTGAAATATACGTTTGTGTAGAGAATTGGAAGAGCTGTCTGAAGAAAAAGAAGGCTTGAAATTGTGTCGTAGTTACATAATGAATAAGCATTTAATACGTTACATTTTCTACAAAAACAGAATATGTTTGTAACACCTGAAGCTAAACATCGTTTTCTAAGTGTTATATAGTTCGATAAACTACGACGAGCTCTACAAGAATATGAATATAGAAAAAACTCCGATACTGTTTTCAATGCAAAATTGGAAAGAAATTAGAAACGTTAATAAAATTTCATATATGTTACATTATAAAGAGTATTCTAAACTTTCAATAACTTTAGCTGATCGACTGTTCCATCGGTTTATGAAGCTCGGAAAGATTGTTTTTAGCTTCAGTATATGACATTGTATCCCGAAACGTAAATCAACAGTCGATCAACTGGAGTTCTTGAAAGTCAAACATACTTTCTATTATAACATATGTCAGATTTTTATTAGTCTTTCTTGGTTTCCTCCAAGTTTTCTGTTGGAAAGAGGATCAGAAAATTTTTGATATTGAAATTCTTGTAGAGCTTGTCGAACTCTATCAAGCCATATAAAAATATCTAGTAAAAACATATAGAAGCCAATGTTTCATTCGACTTTAATAACTCAAACATTACACAATTTTTTTTATTTTAAAAAAAAATGCAACGTATTAGATGCTTACTCATCATCAATAAAATGATCATAACTATGACACAACTTGAACCTTGTTTTTCAAGTCATGATTCTTCTCATTCTCTACAAAAGCCGTGATATTTTAATCAACTATCTATACATCTATTCATATAGATAACGTCAATCTACCGAGAGGGATCGGAACTTCTGAATCTTCCTTTATTATTTATGTCAAAGGTTATAGTACAATCATGTCTTTGATATATGCTAAGTTTTATATTAAGAAAAGAAACTTTCTAATCTTCTTTCATGAGAAAATCAATTATCTTGTGAAAAAAATCTTATAAAATTTAAGCAAATAATTTTATTTTATTAAATCTTGAATGAATGGGAGATGTAGCTATTCTTGTTGTCGTATTTGAAACTACATTTAGTGAATCGAGATTAAAACGTGAATTTCGTCGTGCACAAGATGAATTTGATAATCAACAAGTATCTGTTGTACGTGATAATCGTATTCAAGAAATTCCTACTAAAGAACTTGTTGTTGGTGATCTGTGTGTTATAAAATCTGGTAAAAATGATAAATAAATAATTAATATTATTCTTTGAAATATTTGTCTTTAGGTGATTATTTACCAGCTGATGGTTTAGTTGTTGAAGGAAGTGATCTTAAAGTTGATGAAAGTTGTATAACAGGTTCATATTTTTCTTTTTTTTAATGAATCTATTAATTTTAAAAAAAGCGTCTTCTTTATAGGAGAAGCAGAGTTAGCAAAAAAAAACGAAAATGATGATGCTGTACTTTTCTCAGGTGCACAGGTTATAGAAGGTAATGGTCGAATGGTTGTTGTTGCCGTTGGTCCTCATTCTCAAACGGGAGTTATTCTCGATTTACTTCGTAACACAAAATTGGATTAAGACGGTAACAAGGAAGAGGAAAAGAAATAAAAACATATGATTAAAATAATAGAATTTGTATTTTGAATATCAAGAAAAAAAAATAGAAATACATACTGAATATAAATGAGATATACCCGAAAGCTCTATTCAAATTTCATATCAATTTCAGCTGGTCATACAATTAATAGAATCAACTTCATTATACTACGGACTGTCAATGCATGAAGATTTTTCCTTCAATTAACAAGATCAAGAATACTTTCTCGATGTTCAACACGAATATCAAGTACTTCACATTGAATTCTCAATGTTGAATGGAATAATTCTCAATATAAAATCAATTCATAGTAAGATTTGAAGCTATACGCCGAAGATCTTCAAATCTTTATTGATTGATATAAACCAACAAAGAATTCAGTCGGATAATTCTACAAGTCTCGCATGCTTCAAATTTTCTTCTGATAGAAATATCACTAATCGATCTGCAGTTTCATCTATTAGACAAATACGATACATGCTCGAGGAAAAAGTTCTTTCAGATTATCGTCTATTGCTCTACATTCCGAAATCTGATAGTCTTCGACAGTGACAGTATGTATTTGTTGACGAATACAATCGAGTTGTTTGTTATTGTTCATTAAGATTAAATAATCATGTTGATAACCAGCAAGAAATAATTCCTTGACGTTCGGTGCAAGTCGAAGTGAAACACGACCAATCGCTGGATTATCAAGTCAATTGAATTGTACTACGCGCACGTAATGAAATGGGATTTCTTTTAATGAAGATGTTCCTTCCTCCGTACTTACATAATACCCACTGAATACTAAATGATGAATACGAGGCGCAATCTGTTGTATAAAATGAAGCAGAACAAGCGGCAATGGTTCAATTGTGACCAAGCGTAGAAAATGAGCACGCGGAAGAACAATTGGTTCCGATATGTTACTTTGATAATCGAAAAATGCTATTGAAACATTGTCAAGTGATACACAGGATTGTAAACAAGCGCTCATTCTAGAGTTTGATAAGTTGTAATACGCCAAAACCGGTTGGGGGTGGGTGTTCTTCACACCTCAGCGACACCCATACTCACACACCTTAGTTAAAACTTTTTTATAATTGTTTTTTTCTTGAATAGGGTACGTTTTAATGAATTTTTAAAAATATTTTTACCTGGTTGTCGATCGGGTCGGGTCACAAAAAACCGACGCATGTCGGACACTGTCACCTAACTACAATGATGTTGCAACATAAATAAACTTATTTTGTTGAACTTTTTATCTGCTTATGAAAGTTAAAATTCGAAAATCTCACTGACGTCTGCTGGATGCCTACTTTGCTCGAAAAATAATACTTTTTCGCAAAATTCTATTATCAGATCGCAGTACATCAGATTTTTTATCGAACCCAAAACCGTTTTAGTTTTATTCAGAAATGATTACAGCAGAACATAACATATTGAAACTGTGAAATGAGAGAATTCCTTAAACTTTTGTCCGTTGGATAATATTTACTGACGGTTGCGTAATGATCCAAGATTTCTAGAATTAATTACTTTTTATTGAATAGTTCAAGTCAACCTCTCGCATAATACATTCATAAAAACGATTTACTTTACCGACTATGTATGCCGAGAGACAACCAAAACAAATGTTACCTTCAACTTGCGTGCATCGCTTTATGTATCATAAAAAGGCATGAAAGATAAGGAGGAAAAAACGTCTCACACGTGCAACAGTATAATAGAAAAATTCAACATGACGAGCATAGATAACGTGTGTCACCTACGAAGATGACAATTTCGTTCTCTCCAGCTCATAGCTGCATTTCGATAACTAGTGTCGGCGATTCAATGAAAGTTTTCACTACTCATGACAACATCCTATACATGTTAACATTTATAAATCATTGAACCTTCAGCTTCGTGAACCAAAGAACGAAAGTTTTATTCTACTATCTATTTTGAATTCATGAAATCAACCGATAACAAATTAACTCAAACTTTCTCTACTCTATCGAAGAGAATTTTTTAAACGTTGCGCCATGAATGAAAACAATCGAACAGCAAGGGTGGGTGTGGGTGTGAGTGTTTGTGAAATGAAGAGGCACATCCACACCGATACCCACACCCATCCTTATCAAATATTCTGATACGAGGGAAAAAAAACCTTCATGGTGACATAAAGTAATAGGAACATTATGTTTTATTTTAGTTTCCAAATTCTAATTTAAAAAAAGAACAATGACAAGAAATATCATTTCGTAATATAATTTGAATATTCTGCAAAAGTATGAGAAATAAATTTTTCTCTTTGAGACTTATCATAGAATAGCTGCAATCTTTTTGTTGTTATGATGAATAATATTTTTTTCTTCTTAATTGAAATTAATATTTTTATTTGAACAAAAAAAAACATTGTCTATAAAATCAACTGTTTCATCTAGAAGAGCTTAGAGTCTTCAACAATCCGGCATATTTATACAAGAATATCAGAAACTAGAATGAGTACAGTAAACCCATTCTTGTCACTATCACTCTATATATTTACCTATTGTCACGTAATTTTTGTCTTTTTTATTTCAATTTTATCAGTAGTATAGCTATTAAAGCATTGCATAATTGATTCTATGTTCTGATAGTGTCTTATATAATCAACTACTCTAAATCTATGCAACAAAAGACGAAAGAAATAATTTTAAAAATCTACTCTTTTTAGATCTTGTCAAGCAGGATTTCTGAGAGGTATTCGAATTATTGTTTAACAAAAAAAAATGTATAGAGTAATGGAGAATTTCAAGGTCAATCAGACTATAAAATTGGTTTTGTTAGAAAGGTGATTCTCTAGCAGGAGGGCACAAATTCCAATTCTTGACTTGGAATTGATTGCAGTTGGGATGTTATTGTCATATAAGCAGCTATTTTACCAATTACAGGTTAGATATTACTTATAAGACAAATTTTGCAAATCGTTTTATTTAGGATAACAAATATTCTTGTACACATAAAAGTTAGAATGTATTTACATTACAGGCGATTAAGTGATTTATTTGTTTCGTTTTTCATGGACGATAACGACCAATAAAACGAGGATAAAAACAAACATTACGTATGTGATGTCGATTGGTAATCCAAGTCATGAAACGATCAAGACCAAGACCATAACTACCATGAGGAAATGTACCATATTTACGCTAAATAAATAGAAGAAAAGAAAAGTTGTAATGATTCGTTCTTCGATTGAATATTATTATTTCTAATATTATCAAATGTATATACTGATAAAGATTTTATCAAAAATTGAAAGCATATAACTTTTTTTTAAAGACTACTGTTGAAAAATATTGTATCATGCAGAAAAAAAACACTTACTTGATCTAAATACCAATAATATGGTTCAGGTTAAAGACCATTTTTACGAAAACTTTCAGATAAATCTTCAAAATTTGTCATTCTCATACTACCACCAATAATTTCACCAACACCAGGTACTAATACATCAACCTGAACATGATAAAAACATATGATGAAAACGAAGATCTTTACGTTTTGCATACCGATTCAGTTAAATGATTATCATTTGGATCTCGTTGCATATAGAATGATTTAATTTCAGCTGGAAATCGACAGAATAATATAGGTTCATTAATAGTATCCGTCATTCTTCGTTCGGGTAATTCCGGTATATCTTCACCGAATTCATAAAATTTACCAGTTTCTTCATTTTTAATATAATTTTCTTTAAGCCATTCAATACCATCACTATAGTTCATAAGTTTGAATGGTTTTTTTGGTGGTTGAAAGCTCTAAAAATAAAAAGAACAAGATATATATTCGTAAATCATGATGCATAAGTATTCATATAAATGCCGAGGCCTATTGTGTTAAAATAAAAAAAGTAGTAAAAATCTAATTTCTTCACTCAAAGATAAAAAAAAAATTTTCAAACTCTATAAAATAACTTGTGATATAGGAAAAACTAAGTTTTATTTCTCACTTTGGTTTTCTATTAAAATAGTTCAAATGTTCTGAAATTCGATATGAATTTTTTCCTAATTAATAGTTTTAGTTAATAAAAATTCAAGTAAACTAATAATCAAGTACTATTATCTATATATCCTAAGCGTTCGAAAACTTGGAAAAATTCCTTAGTCAAATATGTTCTTATTTTTTAGAGAATGTAAGTCAAAACATGAAAAACATAAGTATTCCTAGTGACTGCTTTGGAATTATAGAAACTTACGAAATATATTTTCTACTAGTTTAAATTCAACAATCTACTACTTTCAAGTAAGTTCTATTCTATTTATATTATGATACATGTTTTCACCCATGTTTTACTTAAGTCTCCGAAAATACTATACTGAACTATGTAACAAGTCCCTATTGTACACCAGGTTTCATCATGCCAGAAAATTTTGCTACCATTGCTCCTTAATTGATCAAGGACTGTAAAGTAACGTGCACGCGTGGCCATAAAAGATGGCGAGTCGAGAGGCACGATAACTTT